TTGAGTGCCAAAGATCGTGGTGCGCATTAAAGTCACCTACTACCATACGGTTTTCACCTCTGGGGAGCGCACTTATGTCAGGGTAATATCCTACCGGGCAGCAGGTGACAGGGGGTATATAAATGTTAAATATTTCGAGCTCAACATCGCCTGACCGGTTAGCAATGCCCTGACATTCTAGGGTGGTATCCCTTCGGTCGATGTCTGCTTCGATGAGACGATACTGCACGGTGTGGTACATAATGAACACTAAGCTTCCACCATTATCCCGCTCGCGATCTCGACGATGCACGTTGTACCCGGCACAATTCAACAGTGTTGAATTGCTGTGCAACTTCGTCTCTTGGACCGCAGCTATTAATATGCCATGCCTTCCCATGACGACAGTTATCTCCTCGATCTTGCTCTGTAGCCCGTTACAGTTAAATTGAAGGAGCTTCATATGGTTCGGGAGACGTGTGGTGATGCGGGGTATGAGGGATGTGTGTGGTCGTGCCGCAGTTGGCTGTGTGCGCTGCTGAGGTGGTTGCCGCGCTGTGGTGGTGGCGGGAGGCATCGCAGTTGAGGTCTGCGACCGAGCAGCGCAGCACGGGCCCTCCAAGTTCCTCGTCCAATCTCGCGTGGTGCGCAGACCTGAGCATGCTCTAAAGTGGCACCAGCCAAGGCAGGTGTTGCATTTGACTGATGACACATTACGGAATATCCTGGTCTGACATACCGTGCAGATTGTAGCAGGAACCAGGAGTTGTTGGCGGCGGCGTGTGGGTGGTGGTGTGGTTGTTTGTTGTGTGGTCTGTAGCCGTTGTGGTGTGGTCTATTGTGTTATGTTGTTGTGCTGCGGTGTTTGTGTGTGTGCTCAGGTGGACTGGGGCTAGCCGTGCAGGCTGCTCTGTTAGAGCAACAGGGGGCCACAAAAGACGTGGTCCACTGCCGATGTGTCCGTAGTCCTGAGCAGACTCTGAGGCGACTCCACCCCTCGCAAGCATTGCACTTGACAGAGGTGGAGTTGTGGTGTAGTTGTCTCTGGCATACACAGCAGGTGTAGGTTTCTGGCCCTGGGTTTGACTCGATGCCAGCCCTGAGTAGGAGAAAACGTAGCGAATGTAGCCCTATGGACGAACAACTTCTGAGATACTTCGCCGACCTAAACGGGGTTAGATCGCCGAAACAACAGCCCTTGGTCGGGTAAAACCGGAGTCATTCCGGTACGTAGAACCGGCTGTCGTGGGAATGATTCCTTGCTTGTGAATGTTTTTGGTTAAATACACTCTCTGCAGATCCCTCTTCAAGATTCCGAAATGGAGTCAGCATATAGGGTTGTAGAGCGTATCCTGCATCACCTGAGAGAATATACTAATTTTACAACCATCCAAATGTAACACTTATTTGAGCAAACAAACCTAATAATATATTCCGTTCACCCCTGTGGTAGTCATCTTCTAATTGCGGTTTTAAGGCAGACATGTTAAAAACCGCAGAATCGTGCGTTGCCCCAGGATATTTTGCATTGACATAGCGAATTTTCATTTCATTATCACAAACCTGTAACAAATATAAATAAAAATTAAATCAATAAGTAAAGGGTTTTCGTTCGAAACACTTACTATCATTGTATTTAAACTGAAATATCCTTTCCGGTTGTAGTATAAATGTTGAAGGTCCTTTTTGGGGGCAACAATTTTAACATGTGTCCCGTCAATACAACCTACTACGCCTGGTATTCCACTTTTCACAAAAAGTAAATTTTTGCTTTTCGTTTCTCCTCTTCGGAGTATTTAATGGATAACCATTCTTTACATGCGTGCTCTTCCAAAACTTTAAACACTTCACTCAATACTAGGGAAACGGTAGATTGTCCAAGTGCGATATTGCTCTCGTTTCCTACGCTAAGTTGATATGATCCCTGAGCACGGAACCTCAGTGTCGCTAATAACTTTAAAATCGTAGGAATTGATGTATTTCTTACACCTGCTGGTAATTTACTTTCCAGCAGTGTAAGCAAATACGTGAATGCAGGTTGTCGAGGACATGGGTCCCAACCTAATTGAATTTGATTAAAAACTAAATTTGCTGTAGACCAATGTTCATGTTTTTGTATATTCTGCGTGCGGCTGGCGAAGCTATGCTTGTACACCATTGTGAATTAACTTCATATGTAAAATTGCATTGTCATAGTAACTGTAGTCGTAAGCGGCCCCACGGGGTGATCCGTGCCCGCAATTTGAAATCTTTAAATTTACTTGCGTTAGAACCGCCGCCACCGCCGCATCGTACCATTGTTATACTTAACACTCTTTTTTCTTAAAAACGCCACTCGGGCAAATAAGTATCCAGTCATTTGAATTACTACTGATTTTGTGCGAAGTACTGAATTCAATAAATATCAACGATTAAGTGGAATTGTCACTGAAATTCGACGTATTTTCTTTAATTAAATCGAAGTTGATCTTCTCCGGTGCACTCTGCGCCATTCCTGCTAGTCAGAATTAGCAGCATGGTCCTTTTCGCTGAAAAGGTAACCCGCAACCAAGATAATTTCTAAATTGATACATACGGGCATACATATGTACATTCACAATTGCTAGTGAGTAAGAGCAAAAAGTCAGCCAGTCGGTGAATTCCCTCCTCGCGATATACGTAAGCGGTGCGGTGCGAACGTTGTAAGTGCGCGAATAAAACCCAAAATTAAAGTGTGCGTATAAAACCAATTGCGAAAAAGTGTACACAAAAATCAATTAAATCAAACTTTAATACGGAAAGTTAAAATAACAAAGCCAACGACAAACTTAAATAAAGAGCGGAAGCAAGCGAAAAAATTCGAACGCATGCAAAAGCGCTGTATTAGAGTGCGTGCACGAAAAAGGAAAATTACATTGAAAATTTTTACAAAAAAGTGGGCTAACCCATAAAGTGTGTTGAAGTTAACGCCCTGGCAATAAACGCGACAATTAGTGTGTGTACAAAACTCATGATAAAATTCACAAAATTTCTTACAAAAAAAACTAGAGTTCAAAAAAAAATACCCAAAGAGCATTAGGGTGCGTATAAAGAAGTGTTAAGATTACATTTGTTTTGAACAAATAAAAGCGAAAAACAAAAAAGTCTAAAACACTGAAATTTTAAGCAAAAAGTAAAAAAAAAGCATATACATACATAAATTTTAAAGGAAACTAACTACATATAACATTTCCGAACAAAAAATTATTCAGGAGACATTGACATAAAGTAGCGGAAGGGTTAACGGAGACCAAACGCTCGACTCAGCACTAACGGGCCAAGCAGAAAACAGCAACATCGCCATCGCCACAGAGTTTAAGATATCCGGAGGTAAACGGATTCCGAAAGCAGAAGGTACAGTTCCCCCCAAAAAAACAAAAATCGGCTATCCAAGTAAGTGCCCTCTATAATAATCACCCATATATCCGCTAAGTCATATACATACATACGGGCATATATACACACTGTATATATAATGTCTAATTTTAAGATGAATTTTGAGCAATAAATGACTTATGTATATAATCAATTGAATTGAAATACAAGAAAACAACTTATAGTCATTTAGTAATTTATTTAAAATTTTATTACAATTGTTTCGATGTCTCATAGACATCATCTTCAGACAGAGTTAAGAGCGAAATACACCACACAAGCGGTTTGACAAACCAAGCGAAATTTCCCTTTGCTTCAAGCCATTTGTGCTGTGTATGGGGGTGTTTGAAGGTTTGACAAACCGCTTGAGGGAAATTTGAGCAAAAATCAAAATTTTTTGATTTTCTGGCCGCCATGTTGATGTTTGATCAAACCGCTTGCGTTGTGTATAGCAAAATCGCCTCATTCGCAACGAAATTTTCACCGAGTAAGGACGTAAGAGAGGAAAATGAAAGAAAACCATAATATTTAGCATTGCGAACTGGAAGAAAACTAAAATTCTTTGCTTGAACGAGTCATGTTTGCATGGTGTATGGCGAAATGGGAAAAGTAGGTTTGAAGAATGTTTGACAAGCCGCTTGTGTGGTGTATTTCGCTCTTTAGAATTTCAACTAAAACTAAAACACAATCATTCGTATCGCAAATCTTAATGGCTACACCACGTCAACGATAGATCGTTTAATTGATAAATATTCAAAACGTAAATCAAAAAGTCTTGTATCTTCGTTTTTTGAAAAGAAAAATGAGTTAAAACGTTGTTCTATGTTGTATAATTCCAATAATTTTAGTTGTTTTTCAAATATTTTAAAGAAAGAAAATATTTTGTTAGCTCCAAAAAGTAATACGAAATTAAAATCATTGTTGTGTTCTACAAAAGATAAATGCGTTAGCATTGAAAAACCAGGTGTCTATTTAGCTAATTGTGATTCTTGTCATTGTGTTTATATAGGTCAAACTTGCCGGTGTTTAAAAATTAGATTAAAAGAACATTTAAATAGTATAAAAAATATCGAACCATATAAAAGTGGCTTGGCAGAACATATTTTGTTGGAAAAGCATAAAATCAATGAAAATAACTTTAAACTAATCGCCTCTGAATTAAATCGCAACCGCTTAAACATTTTAGAGTCTATGCACATTTATTTACATAGGAAAAACAATGTAAATCGCGACGTAGGTCCACATTTCTCTTCTCTATTCACTCTTCTTGATTTTGAAGTAAACTAGTATTGTATTTATGTATGTACATATGTATTGTATTTATTTATTTATTTATTTCAGTCTTGGAATACAGAATATTCTTACAGACTACTCAGCTAACACTAATTAAGTGCTACTAAAACTTTAAAAAAACGCTGTGACGCTTTCACATCACATTTTTTGTTTTAGTTTTAGTCGAAATTCTGACTCTGTCTGAGGATGATGTCTATGAGACATCGAAACAATTGTAATAAAATTTTAAATAAATTACTAAGTTACTATAACGTGTTTTCTTGTATTTCAATTCAATTGATTATACACTGTATATATTTGAATGTCACTTATATCTACACATGTATACGTATCCCATTTCCCCTTATTCTGGAAAAAGAACATAAAATCTGCAGATATCTTGCAATATTATCTATGTACTTGGCGTACGTGTATATTCGCAAGTCCTATTAGCGACAAAAAAAAATCGCGTTACCTCTTCTCCTTTTCCCACTTATGCCATAGATATTCACANATCTTGCAATATTATCTATGTACTTGGCGTACGTGTATATTCGCAAGTCCCATTAGCGACAAAAAAAAATCGCGTTACCTCTTCTCCTTTTCCCACTTATGCCATAGATATTCACAAGGCTACAAGTTGACCGAGAGTTATACTACGAGATTTCGCGCCACTGCTTGCTGGTATACATCATTTTATACATACATACATTTACTCACGCCGAAAAGACAAACGGTATACACATTTACTTGTGAACATATACACATTCCCGTTAGCCCATATTTATTTTCCTTTCATTCGTTTCGCTCGCTTTCCAACCACTTTGCGCTGGCAGTGCAGCTAAAACAATTGCACACACATACATAGGTACTATTGTGCTCAGACGCGCTGAGACAATATACAGTAGAGCTCAAGAAAATAGCGCCGAAGCAGATACAGTAGAGCTCACAAAAATAGCACCACACAAGAAAAGTTGTTAAACGAAAAAAAAACGCAAATAAATATTTAAAATTGAGAAACAATAAGTTGCTAGCTACTTATTGGTATCTCAACGCAAGATAAAGAGATTTTCACGTTTTTTACCCTTTCAATAACGTCTCACTCCGGATCCCCCCAATTACCTCTTTAGAACCCAAAATGGAAAAGAAATCTCCCACGGATTCTGACTCAAGCCTTCAGGACTTCATTTTTGATAGCAATAGGCTAGAGTCATTTTATTCAAAATGGTCCAGCACCCTTATAAGCGAGCACACCCAAACGCTCTTAAATGTTAAATTACAACAACTTGACAAGTTGTGCGATGCTCTAATAACCTCATATAGAGCAGTATCCCGTTCTGAGTACTTTGCTTAATCCAGCGGATCTATTGAACAAAAATATAATAAATGCTCAGAAAGTTATGACAACTGTAAGACGCAAACTTTAGACGGCTTACAGCTTCTCGGGACAAATTCCCAGTCCCAAGAAACCACCATTCGAGCCACAAATTCCACCCCAACCTCGAACTCCCAAGAAGTATTCCTCAAGGTACCACCGTGTGATACAGAAATTTTCCACGGTGGGTACGAAGACTGGCCGGCGTTCAGAGATATGTTCACGGCAGTCTACAAAAATCACCCCAAACTAACCCCAGCCCAGAAACTGTACCATTTAAGGCAAAAAACAAGAAGCCAGGCCGGACAAATAGTGAAACAATTCCCTCTCACTGACGATAATTTTGAACTTGCCTGGGATGCCTTAAAGTCACGGTACGAGAATCGTAGGATATTGGTAGATAACCAATTAAAAGCGTTATTCAATATTCCCCCCATATATACAGAAAGTGGTGAGCAAATCCAAAAAGTTCAATCCACTATCAACAATTGCCTGTCAACCCTATCAGCGCAAGGAATCCCAACCAGCAATTGGGACCCCATCCTTGTATATTTATGCTCTTCAAAACTGCCCAGTGAAACTCTATCTCTATGGGAGCAATCGCTCAGCTCACGGAAAGAGTTACCACTTTGGGCTGATATGAATAAATTCCTCACAAGCCGGTATGAAGTAGTAGAAAGACTACATGCATATCGGCCAGGCAAACTAAAACCCTCTACCCCACATTTTACACCCAGAATGATGAACCAAAACTCGACGTTCATTAATAAAAGAAGAACTCAAAATTGTCATGTAGATCTACATCAGCCAATCTCATGCAAACTCTGCAACTCAAGGCACCCCATGAAGACATGTGTTAAATTTAAAGCTATGTTCGTATCTGACCGTGTAAGTTTCATAAGAGAGAACAATTATTGTGAAAATTGTTTTCCTTACTCCCATTTAAAGAGTGATTGTACAAGCAGCTTCACTTGTGTATACTGCCAAAGAAAACATCACTCTCTTTTGCACTTCCCGCAAAAAACCCAGCAACCAAAACCCAATTCAAAACCCCAGCGAACAACGAGTCAGCTATAGACTCAGACTAATACGGATACTGAAGCGCCCACTTGCTCAAAATATGCGACACATAAGCCACCGGACAAAAACGACGTAAATAAAGTATCGTCTCATTTTTCGAGTACTAACGTCACAACCCTCCTCCCAACGGCGATAGTACCTATATATTGTGATGGCGAATATCATAATATTCGCGCTCTGGTGGATCAAGGCTCACAAAAAACGTTTGTATCATCCCGGTTACAAAAACTCTTGCGCTTACCTATGACAGATGCTCTATTCGAGATTTCTGGCATGGGTGGAATGGTGGTGCAAAACTCAAAGAAAATGTGCGAAATCACACTGTGCTCAACAGATAGAAGCCAAGAAATAAAGACCCACGCCATTATTTTGCCCCAATTGACCCACTTCCTCCCTACTTCAAATATCTCTCATATTAACTTAGAAGAGATAAAACGATTAAGGCTTGCCGATCCCAACTGTTTCACCCCAAATAAGATAGATATGGTAATCGGCAGTGACCTAATCCCCCGAATTCTCCTACAAGGGCTGCAACAAAATATAAGCGGAAGTCTCATAGCGCAGAATACGATATTTGGATGGATTCTGAGCGGCCCAATCCAGGAGAGGATCTTCACCTTTACCACCCAGGTAACCGAACCCCAGGATAAATCGGTTAACTCACTGCCGAAGAAGTTTTGGGAACAGGAGGAAGTAGCTGTCACGCAACCCCGTTCAAGTGAAGAGGACTTCTGTATCGACGCACAACAATCCGGCAGGCAGACGGACGATACATGGTAAAACTACGCATCAAGCCCGAATTCCCAGACATCATGGCTCTAGGACACTCTGGACTAGCAGCGCAGCAGCAGTACATCAGCATCGAAAGGACTCTGGAGAAAAAACCGGACCTCTACAAAAGGTACCCAGAAGTTCTGGAAGAATACATCACCATGGACCATATGGAGCACACCTCATCCCAAGAAGTCATCAAAGACGGTAAATACTTCTCCTTTTATTTACCGCACCATGCTGTCATAAAACCCGACAGCAAAACAACACAATTACGCATAGTCTTCAATGCCTCCAGAATATCCCACTCTGGAAACTCCCTCAATGACGTACTATACACTGGCCCAACCCTTCAAAACGACTTGATGCTCATCATTCTCCGATGGCGCCTCTACAAGTTTGTTTTTAATGGCGACATCGAAAAAATGCATCGCCAAATTCTCGTCCACAAGGAAGATCAAGACTTCCAAAGAATCGTCTTTCGTAGGTCCCCAAATAAGCCCATAGAAGATTTTAGGCTGAAAACAGTCACCTTTGGCGTCAATTGCGCTCCCTATCTTGCAATCCGTACGCTTCATCAGCTAGCGCAGGATTGTCAAGACGAATTCCCGCTCGCCAGCAATATCCCCCTACGAGAAACATACGTGGACGATATTCTCTCACGCGGGCATGATATACAGTCCACTATAAGCTCATTAGCCCAAGTTAAAGACGCCATAAAATCTGCAGGTTTTCCACTACGAAAAACCACCTCAAATCACCC